CCTAATATTCATATCCATATATTGTTATGTCGACAGTAAATGCGCCGACCGTCGACGCGGCACCATCGGCGACACATACACCGCCGAACAGTTCCGCCAGATAATGACGAGGGTGCTGCCGGCTTGGGCGGCGTCGGCATGGAGCCCGCATTTCACCACACCTACGCAGACGCTGTGGAGGTTTCTTCTCATCAAGGTGCTCACGCTGCTCTCCCACCACAGCCTCATGCGCGGTGCAAGCATACGCGAGATAACGCTCCCCGACATCTTCCTGTACCGACTGGCGAGCACCTCGTCGGTGAACCCGGATAACCAGCCGGTCGTCATGGTGGTCGCCGCGCGGAACTAGAAGACGTCGAAGGATGCGCGTCTTCAACAGAGCTACGCGGCGCGGCACCTAGAAGCGGAGTTGTGCGCCGTCGGCGAGACCGGGCTGTGGTTACACTTCGTCCTCGACCAGATCGGCCAGTTTCACGGCGTCGACCTCATTCCGCCGGTCGGACACACCAGCACACGCGAGCTCTGGTACAAGAAGCACATGTTCTTCGCCCGCAACGACCCCGAGCAGGGCGAACTCTCAGCTCCCAGCCACCAGCGATGGACGAGGCAGATGTGGAAGACGAATGGGGTGTTCTGCAAGCGGAACGTCCATGCCGCTCGGGCGGTGGCGGGGCGCAGGAGTTGGCCATCCAAGGTACGCCTCGCGCCGAGATAGCCGAGCTGGGTCACTGGGCTCTCGACAAGATGACTCGAGCCTACATCACATCCATTTCCGTCGGCGTGGTGATGAAGAAGGCCGGCTATTCGGGATTCACGCAGGACTACTTCTTGGGTCGCAGTAGGGTGGAACCGGGAGACGAACTCCTCGCTCTCATCGCCGAGCACATCTTCCCCGGCGTCGATGACCTCCTCAACAAGGTTTGTTTATCGGTGCCGACCAAGCTTGCATGGTACTGTCCTATCCACCACGGAAATAACCCACGTCTGATGTCTAACTGCAGGCAGAAGAACTCGCGAAGAAGGGGTCCAACGCCGACGTTGCGGCCGTGCATTTTCTGGCGCCACCCTTCTGATGTTCCGCCGCATTGTCGCCGAGGACCTCGCGGTGAAACTCGTCCGCACCCCTTGGCACCCGTACATCCAGTATTCCCAGCTCTGCCGGATTCCCCTTTCCAGCACTGGGCGAAGAGGGTCGAGAAGACCGACACCGACCCCATAAAAAGCGGCAAGATCCAACCCTCATCCAGCCAGAGGTAGGTCATCTTTTATGCCGACGTCGCGATGTTATCTATGACCGCTACAACCCCTCATCTGCACCGTTATTCGCATACCATTGCAGAGGAGATATCGGTCCGCCATGACGCCCAGTTCGCGGTCGTCTCCCTCACGGAGACGCTTAAGCTCGAGAGGGAGGCGGTCAACGGTCCAGAAGCTCGACCTCGAGGAGAAGATCGAGAATCGCGACGGCAACCATCGCGTCGCTCGCTGGCCGAGATAACACGCCTCACCGAGGCTCTCCGCGTTTCAGAAGCTCGAAGGATGCCGGAGGCGCCGCCAGCTGCTAACGACCAGTCGCCGAGCGACGGTGGCTCCGCGGAGTCGGCAAGCAGGGGTGGAGGAGCAACAAACCCAATAAACCCCCACAGACGGTCGAGGAGGCTAGCTACGAGCTGAACGTAGTGTAGCCTTGGCGGACTGCAACGACCGTCAAGGACGCGTGGCGCCTCTGGACCTCGTGCACCAGCGCCGACACCCGTCGTCTGTGCGACAGGTTCAGGGAGCCGGGATTCGTCGACCGCCACACCCTCCTCGACGGAGCCTCGCAGGGAGCACACGGGAAGAGGGTGCGCCGCATGATGAAGGTCATCGATGCGGTGCGCCAGCTTCGCAGGAGCGACGGCGAAGCCGACACGGAAGCCACCGTCGACGCGCTTAACAAGATAGCGGCGCCTGGCATTGGGACCTTCGCGGATGCCTTCACGGTGCTCAACGCGGACGCCGTAGCGACCTATGCTGGGCAGGGTAAGGGCGTCAAAGGGCTCGGCAAGACGGAATTTTCCAAGCTTCGTGTCGCCTGTGCGTTCGTGGCGCGCGGGTTAAAGCCCGAAACGTGGGTCGCCGACCTGTTCCCGGACACCTGGGTTGAGCAGATGAAGAAGACGTTGGCCGATCTGGCCCGCGAAAACGGCGCCGGGCAGCTGCCTCCGACCAATAAGTCGACCAAGCGCAAGAAAACCGCTTGAATGTTCCCAGGCCTCCTGCTACTGTGGCCTGTTGCATGTTGTAGATGTTGATGCAGCATGCCTATGTTTCATACTGATACTGATGTCGACTTTTTGTTTCTCACAATGATCCTGTTGTTCTTGGCCTAGCGGGGCATTCACGTGTCGTTCAAACTCAAGTAGACAATCATTACTAGCTAATGTGTTCATTACTCATCCTACGTAAAGTAGACAGGCACGCACAAAAAAAAACACAAACAAAGAGCATCAAAGGGATCCGACAGCCAAAACAAGGAAAACGATATCGACCATTTCATCATCGAGTCCACGCAGCACTCAATCTTAGCAGGCCGTCGACTAGGCCGTCGTGCTGTCCTTCTTCGACATCTTGCCCTTCTCCGTGCCGCCCTTGGTCTTCGTCCCCTTCTTGCCCCTCAGACCCTTCCTCCCCCTGTTGTCAAGATCGGCCTTCATTTGCGCGTCAATCGGCACCGCGATGTCCCTCGCTCTTAGTTTCGGCCCGGCGACGGGGCACATTCCCCAAAACGCCATCGTCTCAACCGTCGCTCTAGCGATAACGTCGGCATCTACTCCAGCATTCCCCCCCGGATAGACCCTATCAAGGGCGGTCCTCTGGAGTGCTGGCGCGACGTTGTAGGCAACCTCTCCCAGGGGGCGGTCCCTGTTCATCTCGGCTTTCAGCACCAGCCTCCATGACTTTTCCGAATACATCGGCGGTCGCCTGGCTCGCTCCGCCGATGATCGCCGCCGACTTCCCTTCTTCCACAGCATCCGCCAGCTGGGCATCGCCGTTCTCGACGAAGCACCACACAGCGCATGCGGATGCTGCTAACGCCCATGCCGCCATATCCGTCTTCTCCTCCTTGTCTCCCTCCTTCTTCGCCGCTGCCGCAGCGGTCTTCCCATATGCAGCGCACATTGACACGCGACCTATCATCGCCGACATCATGAACGCCGACTTCTCCCGGCCTTCCTCGGTGCTAGCATCGACTGGGTACCATATCGCTGGCAGGAGCGCGGCGTGGAGACAATTGCCTGTGGACTTGTAATGGCGATACGCGTCGAGGATCTCTGTCAGCCTGTCACGCCACCACAAACAGGGCGAACATGAGTGACAACGACAACGACATCGACTTTGAATCGGAGGATTGCCGACTTACCGTGTCTTTGGAAGGAGCGTACCCCGGGCCCACATCACCGTCCACATCCCTGTCGGCAAGATCCTGACCTCCTCCCACACCTCCTTCCACCTCTCCAATTCGGCGCTGTCCAAGCCGGTGAGCTCGGTCATGAGCACCTTGCTCACGAAACCGTCGTAGACGACGTACGCGATGGAGTGAACGTACGCGAGCTCCATCTTGTCCCGCGACTTGCCGATGTATCGATTGATGCCGTGCACCTTAATCTCGCCGACCCACCCTTGCTTGTCGCCCGAGGTATCGTGTCGGATGCCATGACCCCTCCTCTCCTTGCCCTTCCCCTCCTCCTCCTCCTCCTCCTCCTCCTCCTCCTCCTCCTCCTCCTCCTCCTCCTCCTCCTCCTCCTCCTCCTCCTCCTCCTCCTCCTCCTCCTCCTCTTCCTCCTGCTCGACCTCCTCCACCTCCTCGACATCCTCATCCTCCTCCTCCGCCTTCCTCTTTCCCTTTCTCCCCTTCGAGGAACCCTCGCCGACCGCCTTCTCCTTCCCCTTTCTCCCGGTCGACGCACCTTCTCCGACCGACTTGTCCTTCCCCTTCCTCCCCGTCGACGTACCCTCGCCGGGCGACTTCTCCTGATTCTCCCCTTTCCCTTCAACCTCCCCAATGCCGCCTCGATCTTTGTCCGCCGCCGTCTCCGCCGCCATCCCCTTCTGTTTATCCGCCGCCTTCACCTCCGACTTCTCCCGCGTCTTCCTCTGTGAGCCCGCCTTCCCCTTCCGTTTCGACTTTCCTTCACCGACCGCATCACCGGTCGCACTAGGCTCTGCCGCGATGCCGACGAGTCCCGCCGAAGGCTCCACATGTTCCGTGTCGGAGATGGCCAGGGTTCGGGGATTGGCTGCATCCAGATGGGCCTGTATGGCAGCGATATCAGCGTCTGCGGGGACCTCCTCAACGGCGCCGCCGCCGGTGGCAAGCGCGGCACGAACGCCCTTCTCCGCCGCCTTCTCCACATCAGCTGCCACATGGGTGGGTGGTGCGACATTCGCCGACGACGGCTTAGAGCCAGAGCCAGAAGCCTACTGAGTCCTCTCAGTCGACGCTAGTGCGCCCAGCTGGGCGCGCAACAACGCGGACTTTGGGTCTGCAGGAGTACGGGCGGCGACGACCGGCACTACACGTGGCCCACTGGCCGATGGGACGTCGACAGCAGGGGGGGCCTGTTGAACAGCCCTGTGGCCGGCTAGGAGCCTGAGCTGCTCCTTGAGCGCGTTCGCAACTGCCGCCCCTTTTCCCGCGCGGCCAACCTTGTCGGCAGACGGTACGTCGGCATGGCGCGGGACGTCGGTAGGTCGCCCGGCAGACGGTCCGGTCGGATGGCGTGCACCCGCGGGAGACTGGTGAGGAACCGCTGACGCCTCCGCAACCCCTGTCTTCGGGCCCTGGCCAGCTTTCGCGGACCCGCCTGGGGCCGTTTTGGCGGCGGCCTTCTCCTTGTCGCGCAGGCCTTTCACACCGCTACCCTGTCGTGGTGGCTTAACGCCGACCGAAGGCGGAGCCATTGGCAGTGCGTCATCAGTGGCATGCTCGTCGGCGGGACCCCCACCACCATGGCCCGTGCTGGCCGCTCCAACCTGAGCCCAGTGCTTCCTGAGGATGTCGACCACGCTCTTCCCCGACTGCTTCAACGAACTACCGTCGCCGGCTCCCATGCTCCCATCGCCGGCGACGCGAGAACCAGCCGCTCCCTTGGTCCGCCTCGCGCCCGCCGAATCGTCTCCGTCCCCCCCCCCCGCCGCCAGACCCCCCGCCTCCCTTGCTCCGCTTCTTGTTCGCCGAATTGTCCCCGTCGCCCCCCCCGCCGCCTCCCCGCCTCTTGTGACCCAGCTTCAAGCCCTCCGTAGGTTGCGCTTGGCCGGCGTCGTTTGCCGACGGCGACGACCCACGCCGAGCATACGCCACCGTGCCGACGACCTCGGCCATTATCTTCAGTCCAGAGGCGAGGAAGGACTGCTGCGTGGTCTCCGTCACCGCCTTCAGCACGTCCTCCTTGAAAGACTTCAGGAAATCTTCCGGCAAGGCCTGCGCTGGGCCGGTAGGCGGCGGCGGCTGGACTAGGCGGGGCGCGACGGCGGCGGCAATGTTGGTCTGCGCGGCGCCGATGTATTTGATGAACGACTCCTCCAACCCCTTCCTCGCCTCGCCCACCTCCGCCGTCACGTGCTCGGTCACTGTCTTCACCGCGGTCGCGCGTGCGACCGCCGCTCGTCCCTTGGGGTCGTCAAGATCCAGCAGCGTCTGCCTCGCTAGCTCGGCGAAGGACTTGGCCGATTGAATGGCGCTGTCCATGTTGTCGGTGAGGCCCTCGGTGATTGTGGTCGCCATGGTCGACGTGGCCTCTTTGAGGCGCTCCTCCGATTTCCGGTCGGTGTCGGCGACCTGGGCGGTCAAACCCTTCACCTTCTCGAGGAGCCCAGCTAATGCCGCCGCCAAGCTGTCGACCCGCCCCGTCTGCTCACCGAGCCGCCGTTCAAGGAGTGCATTGTCTGCACGCAATCGCCTGTTCTCCGCCCTCAGCTGATCGACGACGTCCAGCCGCGCCTGCCGCCCAGCCGCGGTGGAACCGGGATGACCGCTCGCCGCCTTCTTCCTCCTAGACCGCTCCCCGCCGGCCTTCTCCGCGGTGGCATCGGTATGCACATCCACGCCCCTCTGCTCCGGGACCGCGGCGTTATCCCCTTCACCGACCTTGACCATGCCACCACCTCCGTGAGCCGCCTCCACGCCGACCTCGCCGATATTCGCTGTCGCACCCTTCCCCTCCCCTTCGTCGTTCTCGACATCCGCCGATCTCCCACCCGTTTCCTCCGCTCCTCCGACAACGTACCCCTCCGCTCCTCCGACAACGTACCCCTCCGCCATTTCCACGTCCTCCACCTCTACCAACTGCTCCTCCTGGTGCTGCCTCTCGTGCTCCTGCGTCTCCTGCTCCTGCTCCTCCTCCGACTCCGAGCCCGACCCCGATACCGACCCCGACCTCGACCCCGACGACTCCTCCGAGCCCCCCTCACCCTCACGTTCCTCCTCGCGATCCTGGACCCCATCATCATCCCCGTGAACAACCTCAGTCCCGGTCACCCCCTTTCCTGCGGCCGCATCGGCCTCGTCGACGCCGACTCCCGACTTGCCACGCGCATCAGCGACGTTCGGGGCGACCCCTACTGGTACGGATGCAGAATGGACTTCCTCGCCGTCGTCGTCACAGGCGTCGGCAGCAACAACGGTTTTCCCCGACCGTATGAGCGGGACTTGCTTCTTGATGAGGGCTACCATCTCGTTCCGCAGCGCCTTCAACCCCGAGACGGTGGGCTTGTCCATGCTGGTGGCAATGCGACGGAGGTCGCCGGTCAGGTGCTGGAACCGCCTCACAACCCAGATCAACGCGCTCATTGCTAGCAGGCCGGAGCCCGCGTCCGAGTCCCGGACGGTATCGGGAATTTTCGGCATACAACAGTGCAGAGAGCAAGGATGAGGGCGGCGTAGATGTGACACCATATGACGGCGAATCGTCCGGAACTCACATCTCGAAGGGGTTCGTCGCAGTCGGCGAGCCTCTCCTGCACCTCGTCTTCGGACGGCTTCGCCCACTCCCATTTCCTACCCTCGCGCCGCAGCTCGGCCAGAACAGCGGTCCGGAAAAACCTGCAAAAGCACGGCAAGGACGGTCGGTTAGCACGGTGCACGCGCCGTGTCGACAATGTATGCGATGTCGACTAAACTATCGAGCTCACTTCAGCACGCGGATCGCCTCGTCGCGGTGCCACTCCTTCACTGTCTGCGGGTCGGCGTGCCGGATCGAGGTCCTGACCTCCTGCCCCGAGGCATTGAACAAATCGCCGGGGCACAGGATGAGAACGACGCTGCAATGTGCTCCCGGAAGCGGTGCGATGCTGCACAGACAAGGCACGTCGATGGCGCTCAGAACAAATCACCGACACAGGTTGCAGCACACAGCAGGACCTCGAACCTGCTCACCTCGATATCAGTGGGATAACCGCCACGTCGGCGTCGAAAATCGTCGCAAAGCATGTGTGGTCGTCCTGACCCATCGCCGCCCGAAGCCGGCCGACTCCTATCGACCACAATCGCTCGCCTGCATCCGTTGAGCGGATCCATGCGTGCCTGCACGCATGCATGATTACAACAAATTAGAGAGGTATAGGTGCGCGGCACGACGGTGGAATGACGGGAGCCGAACGACTTCGGCACAACTCAGCGTCGTCGACGACCTAACGCATTACGTCGGCATCACCGATGTGATGTGCCTGAACTCTAAGCCCGTCGACATATACTACTGGACGCATTGAAACCCCGCCATGGCCGACCAGCATGGAATAGGCCCATCGACGACGACATCTCCATAAGACACTCACTTGAGACCGAGTCCCAAGCAACGGGCGTTAAACTCTAGCATAGGGTTTGTCAGAACGGCGTAGTCGTGCTCTTCGAACTTGGCCGTGTGTCCTCTACCGATGTCTAGATGCAGGGGGAAATCTAGCGAGGTCGGCGCCGCTTCGGCGGCTTTCTGGCCGGCTGCCATGGCGGGAGAGCGAGGATGCTATGCTACAGGCTAAGGGAAGAAACGGTGGGAGTATGGAAGGCGCCGAGGTGGGAGGAAAAATGAAAGAGAAACGAGAACGCGAAAATGAGGGGCCAGTCCACCTCCAACGAAGAAAAGCCAGGCGGAGCCACGCAGGCCCGGTTGAGCGTCGCCCAGGGGGCCGTGATGCCTGGCTCGGCAGGGCTCGTGTACAAGTTGCGTGGCACAAGTGCACCCTCGCCGCCGAGCCAACAGGTCGACGTCACGTCCCCCGGCCTCGGTCGGCCAGGGGACGCAACTTCGCGTGGGCGCGGTGCGACGTTTCGGCACCACGTGTCGATTTCGCAGAGGGTCGCGATAGCCGTGCGCCCCGTGGCGAACGACCCAGTTTTCGCTCGAGTTTCGGGGGGTACGAAATGTCTCATGCATGCGATGCGAAATGACGGGCGAGCACGTGGCGTCACCGCAACGGGTCGCGAAATAGTCGAGCGACCCGAGGGGAGCCCCCGATTTTCGCGTGGACCTCGCCTGCCCGTACGGGCAGGCCGCGATGGGTTACTAGGGCCTCGCGGGCACGAGGGAGGGGTGGGCTGCCTTCGCGGCAGGGTTACTTTCCCTCGCCCGAGGTCTCGCCAGCTCGCCGCCCCCACCCGGTAACGTGGGTCGCTGTTCACTCTCGGGGGGGGGTTGCGGGGCGGCGGTCGTGCGCCCGGCCCAGCCCAGGGCCAGGCTGGCGGGCCCGCACGCGCGTCACTCGCCCGCCTCGTCAGACCCCTGTCCGTCGACCCCCCTCGTCGACCCTGGCAACTCGGGTCCGTCGACCTGATTCCGCTGGGGTCTTCCGGCCGGCAAGTAGGTAGTTCCACCAGGAAACTGCATACAAAGGTTGTGGTAGCAGTAGCTTAGTCGTCTGAGTGCTCGCATCGCTGGGATGGCGCATCCACTCGTTTCCTGCGACTTGTCCGAGTTCCCGCGTGCGTCAATCTCTATCACACTCGCAATATCAGTCCCTCCTACGTTCAGAAAGCGGTCGGTACTACTGTATCCATTGCACGCTTCAACATGGAGCGGCTCCATCCCTATCATCCAATCTCAGACAGATTCTATCAAACCTCTTGGCGGTTCGTGCCGGAAGGTTTACTCAGAAGGTTCAAACTCTGGTTTGGGGTCGTACTATTCTTTCAGACTCATATCTTACGCGTGACAGAAGTATTCTGGAATGTGCTTCCTTTGACTCCATTCTCTATCGCCAAACTCAATTTCAGCTGGATCACTTTTCGGTGTATCCATCAACTTGTTCGCAGTACTATAAAGTCTGCAGCTGCGAGACTCCCCACCATTCGCCACAATCTGTCTACCCAGCATTTCGCCACTTTGGCGAAGCCAGAATTTGTCGAGTGGCCAAGGGAACGGGAATTTTAAGGCTAAAGCTCTTCATTAGGGTGCTTGTTGGGCTAGTCTGGGAGCAATGAGGCCTGTGTTACTACGTTCGGGATTGAAAGAGCAAGTTTCTGGAGGTGCTAAGGAGAAGAAGAAGCGGGTAACTGGCATACTATGGAGGCCGGAGGTACACGAATCTCCTTCTGTTGTGTGTGTGTGTGTGTGTGTGTGTGTGTGTGTGTGTGTGTGTGTGTGTGTGTGTGTGTGTGTTTTTTTTTTTTTTTTTTCCCGTTTTTTTCGCGTTCGTGTCGCTGAATATCTCTTTTTGTTGGTGTGTGTGGGAAGACGATATATTATTGGCCCACGTGGCAAGGCATGGAACAAACAAATGGACACGGTTACAGTCCATGGGCCTTCTACCCACGCGAGACCACAAGGCCTGCTGTAACCGCTTTCTTGTGCTCAAAGGGTAAGTCCTTTCTCAACATTACCTGATATTGCTAATTTTCTAACTTGACATTTCTTCATCATGACTTGGCGACGTTGCTACAGCTACATTTACATCCACACAAAACCGTGTGCTGCCTCATACCTCCTCTCACATTCCCCTCTCCGCTTTCCTATGTCGTGTAGAAAGTTTTCAAATCAGAGCGAGGATACGACACACGTAAACGCTTCTGCCTTCGGCTCGTCTCGAAGAGTAAATCGAGGTACAGCGCACAAGGACCGGGACTGGAAAGCAATGATGACGATGACGGTCAAACCGAGAATCGCCAAGCACATGATGAAGCCAGCTGTCGTGCCGAATTGTTCAGGAAGCAAATCCGATTTATTTCTCGCCGGCATCATTCAGAACACTTCAGGAATTTCTGCGTCCGGTTCAGCTCTCAGCAACTCATCATGTCAGCGGCAGCAGCACGCACCGTATCAGCATAAGCACGCTTTAGCACTGGATATGCCCGAGACGGAGAGAATGACAACGCCGATGAATTTTCAGGTTGGAGCAGCAACAACAGTGACATGTCGACTCGGTGTGGGAGGTGGAGCAGGAGCAGCAGCAGCAGCAGCAGCAGCAGCAGCAGCAGCAGCAGCAGCAGCAGCAGCAGCAGCAGCAGCAGCAGCGACAGAAGCAACGGCAGCAGCAGCCGCAACGGCAGCAGCAGAAGCCGCCGTGGCAGAAGTGACAGCAGCGGGAGCAGCAGCGGCAGCAGCGGCTCGGGCAGCAGCGATGGTGGAAAGTGCAAGCGCAGCAGCCATTGCCTCACATTCTCCGACCCCATGCTCCTCCGCTCATCAACTGGCTCCATTGGCAGTGCAGCGATGCTGTTTAGCAGCATGCTGTTCAGCATCGCACCAACACTCCCCATCCTCACAGCAGCTCCCTCCAGCTCCACAGCAACTCCTCCTAACATCACAGCCGCTCCTCCCAACATCACCCTCACATTCAGTTCCCCAGGGGTCGTCAGGTCCTTCAGCCTCGCCCCACGTTCCACCCGCTGCAACTTCTTATCCTCACTCCTCAACCCCCTCTCTCACCTGCGCTCTCCTTCCTCCACTCCCTCTTCCTGAAAGTGACACTAACGCTGGAAAATTCTCACTAGGAAGTTCACCCATGCAAGAGCTGACGGAGTTCGAAGCCTTGCTCCTGGGAGAATGGCCTCCTCAGCAGCAGGACAGCGCCAGCGCCTTTGATACAAAACTCAACTTTCAGAGCAAGTTGCACGCTGATCAGGACGGTGTCTACAGCACTAAATGCAACATCCAGAACACGTTGCAAGCTGAAGCGGAACCAATACCGCTTGATTATGCGACTTCTGGTGATGAGGCTCGAAGATTGATGCTAATTCAGCCTGCAGATTCCGATCTGATTGGCTTGGGTCGTGTTCCTCCTGTTGGTGCGGGTGCTGCTGATGCGGATTTTTCGGCTTTTTCTGACTTTGCTGACTCGGCAAAACTCTCATCTGATCCTGGTGCAAGTCCACATTGAGTTGTAAAGCGCCTCAAGGCTGTGTCTCCTTGTGTAGCTGGTCCGTGCTGCAACTCTGACATGTTTTTCTTAAGCATTGTGTCTAATATGGCTGCTGCTGCTGCTGCTGCTTCAGATGCTGATGCTGCTGGTGCTGCTGCTGCTGCTGCTGCTGCTGCTGCTGCTGCTGCTGCTGCTGCTGCTGCTGCTGCTGCTGCTGCTGCTGCTGCTGCTGCTGTTGCTGCTGCTGCTTCTGCTTCTGCTGATGCGGCTGCTGCTGTCGCTACTGCTGATGCAGCCGAAGCAATTGCCGCACAAGATGCAGTCACTGCACTAGCTGCTGATCACGCCATCACAACTTTTCTGATTGAGGCTGAACTGAGGAGAATCAACGACGCCCTCCTGCACTCAACTCCTAGAACCAGCTCTTCACCCGAATCTTCACCTGAAGATTCTCCAGAAACTTCACTTGCATCAGCTTTGAAGGGCCGGATTCTCACGGAGGTGTCTCAAGGGTTTGTTACGTCGTCCCTGCTCTATTCAACAAGCCATGTGCATCTTACTGCCCCATCTTTTCCCTCCCTGCCAGCAGCAGCATGGCCCTCGGATATGTCCCCTTGGTTTTCACCAGCGTTGCCACCGTCTGCTGCTGTTTCGGCTGGTGCACTTGGTGCTGAGCCTGCTGCAGCATCTCCAGTTTTTGCACCAACTCCCGCTGCCACTACTGTGTATCCGCTGGGCTGCACCTCTCTACCCACGAACATGGCGAGAACACGTCCTGGTGTAAAAACTGCAGATGCTGAGGCTGGTCTAATGAAGCCAGATGAGCTGTTTGAAGCGTGGTGCAATGAGTCGCTTTGTAGAGTGAGATAAATAAGGTGGCGTGCCGCTTGCCATGAGAAGGTATGACATGCTGTTGGATGGCTAGGAATTGCGTGCTCAGGGTGATTTTAATGCTCACTTCTCAGACTGGGTTTCATGGGATGACATGGCATGGCTTGTTTAAAAAAACTGGTCACTTGAGGCCATGAACTGTTTGAAGCTTTGTTAATTGGGTTGTTGAGCCGGGTACCGCATGTGTTGATTGTTTAATCTAACTTCCATGCACAGTAAATGCATTTTTTTATATTGTCTTTTGTACAAATGGTCAAGCAAGCAATCCCGGATGAGTTTCATGGAGCCGAATAAAAAAGAGAGGGAACTTCGGAAAACCTTAGTGCAAATGTGTGTCTCTCAATGTTATGAGTTTCATTAGACAGAGTGCGCGGAAGACTTATATAAAGAGAATGAATTACAGAATTACTGAATGATCAAGAATGATGAAGGAGCACGCATTTATAGGGTCGAAACCGTGCTAGGCGAGGACCTCGGGACGTGGATGGGTTGGATGTGTCGCGATTGGTGCGGGGCGACTCGACATTGGTTCGGTGCGGAAATGTAGGCCGAGCCACCTGACGCGAAGTGCTCGGGCTGTACCCGTTAAGGCAAGGCTACAGTAAGGAATTGGCAAATTCCTTACACTCTCCCACCTTCTAGATAAGGTCCCTTATCTGTAGACGAGTCGTGCAGTAGCTTGAAAACTGCAGATCTCGGTCGAGACTGATCTGACGGTGCAGAAGCACGTTGACTTTGGAGTTGACGCGTGGCTGATCAATTGACCAGGCAAATTTCGAAAAGTTGGAATGCCACCCGTCGAATTTCCCAGATGTCGATCGGAAGGTCGCGATTGAACTGGCGAGCTGTATACACGATTGAATGGAGGTCGTTGATCTAGCGAAGGCAGATCAGACGGTGTTGACGAGGGCAATGGTGGCAGTTCTCTGACACACTGTCAAAGGTCGGTGAATCAAGAGCCGTAGATGCCGAAGAAGGCCATCGCGAGCGTTCGTCGTGCAGCATCTGTCAGACGAGATGTCAGAAAAAAACTGGCCAGTACTGTGCAAGAGCACTCTGTCAAACTTATATGCTATAGTCTGTGTAGGCTGTAGTGGGGTAGCTCATATGGGGTACAACACTTTAGGATTTCCTACTTGTACTCCTCATGCTGCTCAATACAATCATTCCCCATTTCTCACATGGTATAGAGCAGGTTCCCTAGTGGGAACGTTTCCTAGGGCCCACCACTGAATTTTATTTTTCCTGCCCGGAGCGCGCTTCCCTCCTGCACGAGTCGCGCCCCGGGTGCCCTCCCTCCCGTCGCGTCCCTAGCCCTTAGCGGCCCGTCGCGCCCTCCTAAGGCCCCTAGCGGCCCCTTTCGTGGCCCCTCACGGCCCCTCTCACGGCCCCGTCGTCGCCCCTCTAGGCCCGTCGCGGCCCCTTTGCGGCCCCGTTGCCGCCCCTAGCGGCCCCGTCGTCGCCCCTCTAGGCTCGTCGCGGCCCCTTTGCGGCCCCGTTGCCGCCCCTAGCGGCCCCGTCGCCGCCCCTCTAGGCCCCTCGCGGCCCTTCGCGGCCTCGTCGCCGCCCTCTAGGCCCCTCGCGGCCCCTTCGCGGCCCCGTCGCCGCCTCTCTAGGCCCCGTCGCCGCCTCTCCAGGCCCCTCGCGGCCCCTTCGTGGCCCTGTCGCCGCCCCTTGCGGCCCCGTAGCCGCCCCTTGCGGCCCTGTCGTCGCCTCCTCTAGGCCCCTTACGGCCCCTCTGCGACCCGGTCGCCGCCACTAGCGGCCCCGTCGCCGCCCTTCACGGCCCTGTCGCCGCCCCTAGCGGCCCCGTCGCCGCTCTTCACGGCCCCGTCGCCGCCTCTACCGGCCCCTTCACCGCTGAGCCACCCACCAGCTGAGCAGCCGAGCCACCACGCCGCCAGCAGCCGAGGCGCCCAATAGCCGAGCCGCCGAGCCGCCCAGCAGCCGAGCCGCCGAGCCGCCCAGCAGCCGAGCCGCCGAGCCGCCGCGCCGCCCAGCAACCGAGCCGCCGAGCTGCCCAGCAGCCAAGCCGCCCAAACGCCGAGCCGCCGTGCCGCCCATCAGCCGAGCCGCCGAGCCGCCATACCGCCGAGCCGCCACTGTTCCTTCCGGCGCGCCCTGGCCCTACTTCCTTGGACTGGTGAGCTCACTCTCTGCTAGACCACTACAGTCATGGCTACCCCCAGTGTCCTTACCTTTGATACTGAGGGTCGTGCTGTTGACTTTGAGGTCTGGGTCGATGACCTCCAGCTGTTCTTACAGTGCAATAGGGCAGACTGCCTCTCCCTGTTTGATCTCACCTCTAGTGTCTCTCCTGCCCCGCCTGCTACTGCTGACAGCACTGTTCGTTCACAGTGGGCCACGTGCGATGCTGCTGCTCGTCTTGCTGTGCGTTGCCACTTACCGACCACTCAGCGTGCGAACTTTAGCCAGTACAAGAGTGCTAAGACCTTGTACGACGCTGTAGTTGCACGCTACTCTTCCTCTGCCACTACTGCGCTTAGCCGCCTCATGCTACCATCCCTGTTCCCTGACCTTGCTGCCTTTCCCACAGTCGCTGACCTCATTACGCACCTTCGCACTAGTGACACTCGCTACCGCGCTAAACTTCCTGCTGAGTTCTGTGCCAAGAACTCCCCCCCCATGTACACCACCCTCTACTACATAGTCACCCCGCTCCTTGACTCCCTTCGCTTAGTCAGGGACCACTTCCTCTCAGTTTGCCCCACCACACTCACCGTTGACCTCCTCGAGGAGCGCCTCCTAGCAGCAGAGAAGAGCATAGTTGCTGTAGGAGCCTCTCGTGGCGACCCTCGCACCCCCATCTTTGAGGGGTGTTCTCCCTCCCCCCTCTTGCCCTCTGTTGCTTCTGCTGCTGCGGCCGACCTCGTTGGCTTCGAGTCGGTCGGCGCTGCGTCTGCCCCTAGCGGGAAACGCCGCACCGGCAAGGGCAAGGGGGGCAAGGGCGCTGGGGGGGCTAGTGGGGGCGGTGGAGATGGTGGTGGAGGCAGTGGAGGGGGTGGGGGTGGTGGTGGGAGTGGTGGCGGGGGTGGAGGTGTCGGTGGCAGCAGTGGAGGCGGAGGAGGCGGCGGTGGTGGCGGAGGGAGCGGAGGCGGCGGAGGTGGCGGAGGCGGCGGAGGTGGCGGAGGCGGCAGAGGCACCGGTGGAGCTGGTTGCGCCTCTGCGCAGAGGAGTGGCTCCGGTGGTGGTCCGCGCCAGCAGCAACAGCGCGGTCGTGAGACCCTGTCCCCTCAGCAGCTTTGTGAGTGGTACACTGGGCGTCAGCGGGGTGGGGCTACTGGTCCCTGCACCTACGTCCTCCGTACAGGCGACCACGCTGGTGAGCAGTGCGAAGGCACGCACTCCACCCAGCGCTGCTTCGGTCGCCTGATGGACGCTTGGCGTTATCAATTCCCTGACGCCACTGAGATCCCTCGCTAGGGAGAGCTGTCTAGGGCGGGGGTTGCTATCTTTGATCTTGACTATGATGCTATTCTTGCTGCCATGTATGCTGTGTCTACTAGTGATGAGGTTGAATGTTACCTGTGTGTTCCGCCTGACCCGGGCATTGAGGCTGCTGCTCTAGGTGCTGGTGAGGCTGCTGCTCCAGGTGCTAGTGCGTCTGCTACCCCAGGTGTTGGTGAGTCTGCTCAAGCCTTACACACCTTCACCCTTGACTCGGGTGCTTCCTGCTCCTTCTTTCGAGACCGCACCACGCTTACGCTGCTTAGTCGGCCGGTTGCGGTCTCCCTGGCGGACCCCTCTTGGGGTCCTGTCCTTGTTAGCTTCTCCACTGTCTTACCATGTCCGGCAGCCCCCTCTGGCACCCTGACAGGTCTCTACCTCCCCTCGTTCTCTACGAACTTGGTGAGTGGAGCTGATCTACAGGATCGGGGGGTTGACCACTTCACGCCTGCGAGTCAGCAGGTGACCCATTGTACGTGTGCTCGGACGGGCCGACACTTGGCCACGTTTACCCGTCAGCCGGGGTCGAGCGTGTACACACTGACCACTGAGTCTCCTCCTGTTGCTGCGTCTGGTCAGGTAGCTGCGTCGAGTCAGGTATTTGCTGCAACGTCCAGGTCTGGTCCTGAGTCTGCGCCCTGCTCGTATCGTCTCCTGTCCCACTAGACTCTCCTTTGGCACCACCGCCTTGGTCACCCCTCCCTGCCTCGTCTCCAAGGCATGGCCTCCCGTGTCCTTGTCTCTGGTCTCCCCCGGTCCCTCCCTCCCCTACCTCCGGGGCCTGCCCCTACCTTCGTCCCCTGCGTCGAGGGGCGGCAGCGCGCCGCCCCTCACTCCTCCGAGTTTCCTCCGACAGAGGCTCCCCTGCAGACTCTTCAGATGGACGTGTGGGGCCCCGCCCGCGTCCGTGGCCAGGGTCACGAGCGTTACTTCCTGTTGGTGGTTGACGACTACTCGCGTTACACCACGGTGTTCCCCTTGCGCAGCAAGGGTGATGTCACTGAGATGTTGATCGACTGGATCCGCGCAACTCGTCTCCAGCTCAGAGAGAGTTCCGGCTCGGACTTTCCTGTTCTGCGTCTGCACTCTAACAGAGGCGGGGAGTTTTCCTCTGCCCGTCTGGGAGCCTTCTGTCGTGCACAGGGCATCCGCCAGACCTTCACGCTTCCGGCCTCTCCACAGTAAAATGGGATTGCTGAGCGCCGCATTGGCATGGTCATGGACGTCGCTCGTACGTCCATGATCCATGCGGCTGCTCCCCATTTTCTGTGGCCATTTGCGGTTCAGTACGCAGCGCATCAGCTCAACCTTCAGCCTCGGTTCTCCTTGCCAGAGACCTCCCCCACCTTGCGGTGGACGGGGAAGGTTGGCGATGCGTCTGCGTTTCGGGTCTGGGGATCTTGGGCGTTTGTCCGCGATTTCTCTGCTGACAAGCTGTCCCCCCGTGCTGTTCCCTGCATCTTCCTTGGCTTCCCCCCTGACGTGCCTGGTTGGCAGTTCTACCACCCCACCTCGCGACGTGTTCTGTCCTCCCAGGACGTCACCTTTGACAAGTCGGTGCCTTAGTACCATCTCTTCCCTTACCGCACTGTGCCCCTCCCCTCGCCGCCGCTCTTCCTTGCGCCAGGTCCTCAACTGGTAGACCCCCTCCCCCCTCAGGGTCCTACCCCATCAGGTGTGTCCCAGGTAGACGCAGTTGAGCCTGTCGAGGTAGCTGTTGACTCTGGTGCTGCTAGGGGCGCTGCGCCTACGGGTGCCGGGTCTGGGGGTGCGGAGCCTGGGGGTGCTGGGTCTCGGGGTGCTGAGCCTGGGGGTGCTGAGTCTGGGGGTGCTGAGCCTGGAGGTGCTGCGTCTGGGGGTGCTGAGCCTGGGGGTGCTGCGTCTGGGGGTGCTGAGCCTGGGGGTGCGGATCCTGGGGGTGCTGAGCCTTGGGGTGCGGAGCCTGGGGGTGCTGAGCCTGGGGGTGCGGAGCCTGGGGGTGCAGGGTCTACTCGTGTGGCCTCTGGCGGTGCTTCGTCGAGGCGGGAGCTACTCTCTCCACAAGAGCTGCGCGAGTGGTTTGCCCGGCGCTGGAGCCGTGCTGCTGGAGCTGGAGGTACTACTGGTGCTACTGGTCCTGGAGGTGCTCGTGGTGGTGGTTCTGGAGCTGCTGGGACTGGGAGTCCTGCTGGAGGTGCTACTAGAGCTGCTGGAGCTGGAGCTGCTGGTGTGAGGATCTAGGATCGAGTTCAGAAAAGAGAATGAGAGTTGAGTCGAATTCAATGTATTGAATTGAATGTTCACATGGGTACAACACGAGGCTATATATAGGCTCGACACAAGGCCCCGTAACCAGGTGTTACGCGAAGGTTCCGCGGGCCGTGTAGCGTCCCGAACGGATCCTTACCGAATTCGGTAGAAGGCAATTCGGTGGCAACCGAAAAGCCAGAATTCGGTGCACGCAACCTAGCTCAGTGCTATAACTATAATAAAATATAGGAAAGCACCTAGCCTAGGAAATCAAGCAATTCATGCATGCATATAGTTATCCTATGCTAGAAATAGCATGATAAAGTAAAGGCAAGCAAGCATAGCTGGCATAAGCCGTCGTACTCTCACACGTCCCCCCCTCAAAGCTGGGTGGCGTGAGATACACCCTGCTTGACAAGATAGTCCTTGAGAGCACTGCGTGCGTTGCCCATATCAGCTTCTGCAACCCAACTGTCCTCAGTGGGGTCGTATCCCTTCCAGCGTATCAGGAACTCGAGGGTCTTGCCGCCGCGGCACCGATGAGAGAGAACGCGCTCGATCTCGTACTCGGGTTCATCCTGTACAAGAACAGGTGGAGGTGGCGGTAGCTGCCGTCCCTTGAACTGCTGGTTGGGGTCCTTGTAGGGTTTCAGTAGCTGCACATGGAAAGCATTGTGAAGCTTCCACGTATCTGGTCAGCGCAAGCGGAATGTAACTGGTGTCACCTGTGCCTCAACGAGAAAAGGACCACAGAAGCGAGGCCGGAGTTTGGATGGGAGGTGAGACAGGTTCAAGTTGCGCGTGTCAAGAAGCACCTGATCTCCGACTGCTACTGAGTGATCACGTCGCTGACGATCGGCATACTGCTTCTGGGAGGTCTGCATCGTGGAGAGTCGTCGCTGAGTCTTCTCCCATAGCTGCTGCATGGTGGTGACGAAGTCATGTGCGGCTTGGACGTGTGCCGGTGTAGTTGGCTGCTGTGGTGTGAGTGGTTCCCGTCCGTAACACAGGAAGAAAGGAGTTTTCCCTGTGGCCGCATGTGATGCGTTGTTGTAAGCGAACTCTAGGGTCGGTAACTGTGTGTCCCAGTGGCTGGCATCGTCCTTGTAAGCTGTGCGCAGTAACTGTTCAACCACTTGATTGAGTCGCTCTGTCTGTCCGTCAGTCTGGGGGTGGTATGTTGAAGACATTGCAAGCTTTGTCCCCAACAGTCCCATGAGCTCCTTCCAGAACTTACTGGTGAATTTTGGGTCTCTGTCTGAGATGAGTGTAGCGGGGATGCCGTGGATGGTGATGATGCGGTCGAAGAAGAGGCGAGCAGTTGCTTCAGCTGTAGCTGTGGCGTTGGTCGGTATGAAGTGACCCATTTTGGAGAACTTATCGATGACTACGAGGATGGAATCGTGCCCCTGTGAGGTCGAAGGAAGTCCGGTGATGAAGTCGAGGCTAACGACCTGCCATGGCTGCTCCGGTACGGGTAGAGGCTGAAGTAACCCTGCTTTTTTCTGCTAGCTGCTCTTCATCCGCTGGCACGTGTCGCATGAGGTGACGAACTGCTGCACGTCTGCTGCCATCCCGGGCCAGTAGTAATACTTCGCTATCCCTGCTAACGTCTTGTTGCTCCCGAAATGTCCCGCGTATGGTACGTCGTGAAACTCCTCCAATAGGATCTGCCGTAGCGGGGCGTAATTCGGTACCCAAATCTTTCCTGAACCCTTCCTTACAGCTAAGTCTTTCTCCCACTGTAATAGCTTCTTGGTCTGTGCTGTAGCAATCTCTGCGTCCACGGAGTACCCATGTTGGAATAGACCCTTGAGCAGAGGGTTCATCCCGTCGAGCTGGATGCCTGCTACATGTCCGGGGCGGCTCAACGCGTCTGCCTTGTTGTGTAGCCCGGGCTTGTAGACGATGTCGTAGTGGAAGTGAGTTTCCAGGAAGTCCACCCACCGCACCTGTCGTCGTGAGAGTGTCGGCTGCGACTTCAGGTATTTGAGACTGCAGTGGTCAGTATAGACTGTAGTCTTGGCTCCCTCTAGGTAACACCTCCACGCCTTGAAGGCTATGACTATCGCTAGGGCTTCCTTGTCGTGAATGGGGTAGTTTAGTTCTGCTCCGTGTAGCTTCTTACTGAGGTAGGCGATGGGCTGCAAACCGCATCTGTGATCCTGCATCAGTAGTGCTCCGACTGCTTGGTCACTAGCGTCTGCTTCCACCACGTAGTCTTTGTCTGGATCCGGCAAGATGAGTACTGGCGCTGTAGTCAGTGCTGTCTGTAGCTGCTCCATGGCTTGTTGATGAGGGGTATCCCATTTGTAGGGCGTATCCTTTTTCAGTAGGTCGGTAAGTGGCACTGCTATCTTAGCGTACTGGGGCACAAACCTGTTGTAGTAGTTGGCGAAGCCTAGGAACTGCTGTAACTCCTTCACGTTCTCTGGTACTTTCCACTTCTTGACGGCTTCGATCTTCCGTGGGTCCACGTGTACGCCCTCGGCACTCACCATGTGCCCGAGAAAGTGCACCTTCTTCAGGGCGAAGTCGCTCTTTGACAGCTTCACGTAGAACTTGTTTTTCCGCAGGATCTCGAACACCTTCCGTAGATGCTCCACGTGCTCCTTCATGTTCTTGGAGTAGATGAGAATGTCGTCCAGGTACACCACCACGCACTCGTCCAGCAGGGGTCGTAAGATGTGATTCATCTCCGCCTGAAACGTTGCTGGTGCGTTGCAGAGTCCGAACGGCATCACCAAGTATTCGTAGGAGCTGTATCTGGTACGGAACGCTGTCTTGTGGACGGAGTTGTTCGCCATCTTGATCTGCCAGTAGCCCGATCGTAGGTCCAGCTTCGAAAATACTGTTGCTCCACGCAGTTGATCGAGTAGGTCGTCTATGCGCGGTATGGGATTTTTGTTTTTGACTGTCTGTTTGTTCAGTGCGCGGTAGTCGATGCACATCCGTAGACTGCCGTCTGGTTTTGGAGTGAAGAGAACTGGTGCGCCGTAGGGAGAGGTGGATGGGCGGATCAGTTGTCTGTCCAGTAGATACTCTATCTGTTTTTTCATGTCTGTCAGTTCAGTTGGACTCAGTCGGTATGGTGCACGTGAGACGGGTTTCGCACCTGGTTCCTCCACGATCTCGTGCTCGTGGGTGCGTGCTGGAGGTACGCCTGCAGGTAGGTCGTCGGGCATTATATCCTTGTACTCCTCCAAGACCTCTTTCACTGCTGCTGCCATAACCAGTGCTAGGTAACCCGTGTTACTCTTGTTCACCGTCTGTTCAAACCGTGCCAGTGTCGTTTCAGGTACGTCCCCTGTATCCGTCCAGGTTCGCAGTGCTATCCGCTTCCCATTGTTGTAGATGCACACCTTGCTGTTGACCCTATCGATCTCGGGGTTGAACCGCTTCAGGAAATCTCGCCCCAAGATAAAATCTAATCCTTTGATGTTGGTGACTGGTAGCTTCGGCTTCCACCTCAACGCACCTATATGCAGTTGCAGTGATGCTTCGCCGTGGATAGGAAGCTTCGTACCGTCCACCATGGTTGCTGAAAACTGGGTCTCTTCCGCCTTCTCTCCAATTTTCTCCAATGCTCCGCGGTCACACACCGAGTGAGATGCACCGCTGTTCACCAGTGCCTGGAGGCGTCGCCCATTGCATAACACCTCGAGGAGTAGTGGTTTCTGCTGTGCTGAGTAGCCAAAGAGGGTCTCGTTAACAGGATCATAGGGTACATCAAACTTAATACCTTCCCTTTTTCCTATACCTGACTCAGCGCTTTCCAACTTCACCTGGGGGGTAGGAGGATTTTTCCGAGGCTTGTATATTTTTTCCTGAGCCTGGATGTCTCCTCTAAGCCTTGGCAGCTGTGTAGGCTTCACCTGTGGGCGACGGGGAGCCTTAACACTGTGCTGCGGGGAGAGAATATTAACTCCACGGAACGCACGACCCTTTTCTACGCTCCGCAGTACTTTGCCCAACTTCTCAGGTACCTGAATAATTTCTAAAGGCTTTTTCTTGGCCTCTAGACCTCCCCTGAATTCTTTGAAGGCTTGTAAACCACGAGAAGCAATATTCTTCGCTAGAGCATCTTTATAGGATACTTTTAACGAATTCTTACTTTCGTGGGTGTTCGGCTGGAGTTTCCCGGTCGGTGCAGAGTCTTTTTTCGCGGAGCCTCCATTCGCCTCGGCGATTTCCCCTGATGCCGGCCGGTCGTGACGTTTTAAATTCGCGCCATCATTTTCTCCTTTTTTCACCCGCTCCGAAGTCGCCACGTCGTCGCCTTTTCCTGCTTTTCGGATCTTTACGCGATCGCCAGGTCGATCCGCGGCTACTGGCGATTCCCGTTTTTTGACTTCGGGGGTGCTCCACTGTTTCCGTCCCGGAGTGCCGCACGTGCTTTCTTCATTTTGTAGCACGACAAAAACTGATGTCCTGCTGCGCCGCAAAATTCGCATTTTGTCGGCTGCTGCTTCGCGTCGTATTTGTCGATATCCATCGGTTCGGTGAACGTGGGGGGTGCCGATCGCTCCGTGCCGAATGTACGGTTCGGCGTGAAGCGTCGTGTTTCGGGTTGACTTCCAGTCAGCGCGTCGTATCGCTCGGCAGCACGCACGATGTCTCTGTAGCTGTTGTAATTTGCCGCAATCACCTGCCGCCGAATCTCCAGTTTTAATCCTTCGGTGTACGCCTGGATTTTTTCGCCTTCGGTCAGGTCGGTGATGCGGTTGAACAGTAACTCCATCTGCTGCGTGTACTGTGTTACACTACTGTATTGCTTGTGTCAGTGTATCTACTGCCGCGCCATGTAGGTTGTATTAATTGGTTCAAAACGCTCGATTAAATCTGCCCGAAACTGCTGCCACGTTTTCTCCCCGCGGGCTACGTCGGTGTAGAAAATCCATTCGAGAGCCGGTCCACGTAACAGTGTCGCTGCGAGCCGAATCCTTGCTGCGTCGTGTTGCGGGGTCGAACAACCAATGGCCTCGAAGTAA